ATGCTACTTGGTAAGCTAACGTTCGCTAACTAGCAATGTGTTTAGGCTCACACTCCCTATATGACCAAAGTGTTTCATGTATTTAATTAATTGTAGCTACCACTTTTACGTATTAAAATATGTATGCTTTTGTTTGTGTATTTCAGAAGTTACGTGTATTTCAGAAGTTACGTCGCCGCCTTAGACCATGTGTTTGGATGCTCGACCGAGTCGTGGCAACTACTTTCCAGCTTGCACCAGGAACATTGGTGGGGTGAATGCTGGCTATTACATCCTGGGAGACAATGCCTATCCCTTGCAAAACTGGCTCTTAAAACCCTTCCCTGACACTGGACGGCTGACAGAAGAACATGTGACATACAACAAGAACATTTGCAGAGCACGGGTAGTGGTAGAAAACACTTTTGGTAGACTGAAGGGAAGGTGGCGTTGCCTCATGAAAAGAAATGACTGTGATGTGAAACTTGTGAAATCAATGGTGCTGACATGCTGTGCTCTGCATAACCTCTGCGAGAGTCATGGAGAGACCTATGATGATGGGTGGGATGCAGCAGCAGAGCCAGGGGTAGCAGTGGCACAAGGTGCAGAGGAGGAGGGCAGGGACATACGAGAGGGTCTGATGCGCTACCTGAATACCTAGAATGTATAATGTAACACCTAAATATTCATTGTATTGTATAATAAATATAATAAATTGTTTAAAAGTTTGAATGACCGTAATAAACGGACCTTTGTCTTATTGAAAACAAATGTTTTGACCTTTAAGATTTGTATTTGAGTACCCCTGCTTTAGATGCTAGGGATCTTATGTTTAAGAGACCACATTTAATCATCCTGTTTTGTTGCACTGTAGTAGTTGTTACATTTACGTTTATTAAATTATTATGTATGACACCTCTATTAGGTTTTACTTTAAATTGTCGTTGGGCAGACACACACACCGTTAATATTGGGTATTTTATTGGGCTCGGGATTCCTATGAATGACTGCCCAGGAGAGAGCGCAGAGAAGCGTATAAGACTGCGACTCCGCCTCCTGGTCTCAACTCCAGTTTGTCATGGATTAAGTCCACAAAGCCCTGAAATGTTTGCCGAAATGAGAGGAGCTACCTCTTGCCGGTCCGCACCGACTAACATGGGCTTTACTGTTGCTGAGTTACTTTCTAAAATGCGGAGCCAGGCTTCTATGCCTATGATTGCCGCCTCCAACCTAGCAACTATACTACATTTAATACATGTATCGGTACCAGTAAAGGAGGTAGGGAAGTAACCAAACATGAGACAGGTAGAGCAGGAAATAGCACCCGAGGGTGGGGAAAGAGCCATGGCTACACTGTAAAATATTACCATGATTTCACAATATTTAGCTGTAATATTTTACAATAAATTACTGCTTTACCACTTTACAGTCTTTACCTGTAATGTTCACAATATAATACTCTCATTTTGAATTTCACAGTGAAATCAATACAGGCACAGTTAATTACTGTGAATGTACAGGATAAATGATTACCAGGATTTCACAACATGTTACTGTATTATTTCATAGTAAAATACTGTATTCAGACCATCCTCTGTGATAACACAACAAATTAAGTGATTTTCTTGCTTTTATCGCTCTTGCTTGGCTTTAAATACTAATTTCTTTCTTTGGTGCAGGTTTTACTTAAATTGAAAGGGGCACCGCTGCATGTGCCTTAAAATAAACGATGCAACATATAAATCTATGTGAAATTGAAATTGTTGTCTTGGCTTATTGTTTTCAGGTGCTTCCTGGGCATTAATCCTGAGACGGGCTCAAAACCCAAAAAGACGCATGGCAATTTAAACCCCCATGTCAGCACTTTCTTCAGAACAATGGTTGACTTTCGAGTGGATGTCTGTGTAGACATGTGTTACGTGCTCCCCTCCTTGTTTTCTTTTCTGTCTCCCTGCTGCCCAGGTGCACCTGGTCTGCCCCTGGCTCCGCCTCTGCCCAGGTGCACCTGGTCTGCCCCTGGCTCCGCCTCTGCCCAGGTGCACCTGGTCTGCCCCTGGCTCCGCCTCTGCCCAGGCGTTCCAAATTCCACTCAGCCGTGTATATAAAGAGAAGCGGGAGGAGAAGGATGTCTCGCCTATCCTAACGCCGGGAGACACTCTCCTTAGAATACCTCTTTGCCATTTTGAGCTGTAGGCCATATTTTTGCAGATGTGTTTATGTTTAGCCTGGAGGACCTGGTAGTCCAGTTTTCGTGGCTTTATTTTGTTTCCCATAGGGTTTATATTTGATTTCTGGTTAGGGGGGGGGGAGCTCTGGGTCCTACGGTCCGTGGTGTGGCTGGCTCGGGTTCCCTCCTTCTGTTTGTTCCTTTTGGCCAGTCCTCCAGACCTCTTTTTGTTTCCCGTTTCGCTTGTGTGAGCAAACGGCTGATTATCAATAAATGCTCGTTACCAAGTACCGGTTATTGCGTGTATTCTTTCATGGCCACTACCGGAGTAGAGGTTGGGGCTGTAACAACATGTCCAAGACACTGTGAAATGTACATTGCACTTCAATGGAGTAATAAAAAGTTAAAATGGGCATTTTCTTTGTTTTTCTTTGTTGATTGAGCTCATTGAATTGTGTAGTTATGGTAAAATTCCAGTTAACTAGTCAAATTTACAATATATTATCATATTATTTACATTTTTATATTTACAGTAAATAACTGGCTACTGTGTTGCATTACTTCTACAGTAAAAGTGTGAAAATACAGGTAATTACTGTAATTTATGTACAGCAAGGTACCATAATACGACAGCTCTGTACTGCTATATCACAGTAATTCCATGGGCATGGCACCTGTAAAGTCACAGTATTTAGTTGTACTTTTATTCTAATTTACTGTAAAATATTTACAGTAAATTACTGTGAAATCCATGCAACTAGTAGCCAGTAATTTACTGTAATTTTACAGCCAAACATTTTACAGTGTAGCTATCAAGCTAAAGTAGCTACCGTTTAGCAAACCCGAAAGGAGTGTAAGCAACTGTGGAGTTACAGTCGCTAAGTGAAGGAGAGTTGTGAGTGCTTAAGCTGTAGTAACGTGTGATTACAACGTCAGGTAGCTGCCGTGATCAAGAATTTTAAAACGATCGATTTAAGATAATATAAGCTGTCAGCAGCAGAACAGGCACACAGGATACCCGGAGATGACAACAACAACCGGAAGGGACAACACGCTTACCGCAATAGTGAGGGTCCGTGTGCAGATGTCCTAGCATGAGCATTAATGCTCCAACATGGCCACAACATATAAGGGCCAGACAAAACAGATGTTGCAGGTCGCAGAGGCTTCAATGTCAATGAGTGACACGGAGCAGACAGAACAAGATAATACTGTGTCTAAAGAAAAGGATACACAGAGGACACGGCGATGCCCATTCTTCCTCCGCAGGCTGAGGAGGTTCAACATGGACTCCAGGATACTCTGCAACTTCTACAGGTGCACCATAGAGAGTATCCTGACCTTCTACAGGTGCACCATAGAGAGTATCCTGACCTTCTACAGGTGCACCATAGAGAGGATCTGTCACAGTCTGCTCCCTCACTCACCTATTTTCTGCATTAACATTCCTTAGTCACCTGGTAGTCACATCCTGTTTCTGTCTCATACTCTGTTACACCCATTAGCTCCACTAGTATATAGGCCCCCTTCACTCTCACCTCAGTGCCAGATCGTACTTCGCAGCATGCAGTTCTTTCCAGCAATACCTCCCAGATTGCTCTCCCGGTTTCGAGCTTGCCTGTCCCTGACCAGCCTACTTCGCCTGTTTCCTGACCCTGCCTGTACCCGGACTATTCTGCCTCGCCTGCTCCCTGACCCTGCCTGTACCTGCGTCTCCCGTCTCGCCTACTCCTGGAACCCTCGCCTGTCCCCGACCAGCCCTTTGCCTACTGTCTGCCGGTTTGTCTTACACAAGAACTTTTCTGTGGAAACAAGTTTTAATAAAGCTGTTTACCGACTTTCCCTGGTGTCCCGTGTGTTGCATTTTGGTTCTCAGCTCGTTCGTGACAGGATCCTGACCTTCTACAGGTGCACCATGGAGAGGATCCTGACTCTACAGAGGGTGGTGAAAACTGCACACTGCACCAGAACGGAGCTGCCATCCATGGAGGACCTCTACTCCCAGCAGCTCAGGAAGAAAGCCCTCAGGCTTATAAAAGACCCCCATCACCCCAGCAACAAACTGTTCTGTCTGCTGCCGTCTGGCAGACGGTACTGCATCAGGACAAAAACCACCAGACTCAGGGACAGTTTCATTACACAGGCAATAAGACTGCTAAACTCCTGAGCTTGCCCTATTTTTATTGTTTTTTTTATTTGTTTAAAGGGCCCATGTCATGGCCATTTCCACTGATCATAATTACATTGTTGAGGTATACTAAAATAGATTTATACTGTGCAATTTTCCAAACTCACATTGGTTTCGCATACAGCATCTCTGTAAAGTATGTGTATTCAGTAGTATTCACTCTCTCCACTAAACGGCTCGTTGGAGCTCTTGCCCCCCCCTCCCTGTGAGCCTAGTGTGCTCCGATTGGTCAGCTCGGCCACTCTGTTCTGATTAGTCAACCACCAGAGAGGCTCCGCCCATGTCTAACAGTGCTTTTTTCGGCTCGCTCTCGGAACATCAGTCTTATAATGGCGTCGGTACAGCCGTATATTTTATACGCTAACTAACCGAACTGTACCTACAACTGTTGTTATAGAAGAGTAAGTTATTTTTACCTGTAATAAACTACTACTGTTTGATGAGAAATCAAATCATGGTTTGCTATATATGAATGATATGTTATAGGAGCAAATAATTCAGGCAAGAAAGGATAGGCCTACTAAGTATTTCCATCAAACTTTATTTTTAGAAATGTACAAAATGAACATAAATATACATATATACACGGTATATCATCCATTCCTCCCCATTGTCGGCATCTTGCCTATCGCAGCCGGGGCTTTTTAGGACGAGGCCTCAGTGTGGTAGTCCCGTCCCCGTCATGTATTGTCGGCCAGGATCTGTCTGGACGAAATCAAATGCAAATCACAAAATATTAGAGAAACTTAGTTGTTTTAGATTCGTTAGTAGTAGTTGTGGTAGGAGTGTGGATCTATCTAATCCATCTATATAATCAACACAGTAAGCTTGCCAGCTAATATGCTAACCTAGCTTTCTTGTTTACCTTGTTAGCAAACACGATATGAACGTTAGCTCGGAGGAACGGCAACTATAATGTAGTGTAATAAACTACTATGAACAAAAGCTAGTGGTTCATATTAGGCTAGCAATAACGTGTTTATAATTGCAATCTTATACGGGTAGTCTGCTACATTCGGTCATTCATTGTAACTGGCATGAATACAATGTTTCCCGCTAGCATGTATAGCTAGCCTCGTTAGCTATACATGCTATCAGCGTCGGAGGAAAGCCAACTGTAATGTACCGTCCTTTGGGGGTCTGTGAGCAGGCAAAGAGAGGGGATTTCCCCGTTGTCTCTGCTGGAAGTGTGAAATAAATTTAGTTGTTTGATGTTCGTCAGCTTGCCAGCTGGATTACAATGCTAATCTACGTTTGCTAGTTGTTCAGTTGTTCAATATGCTATACTATACTATGAACAACAGATAGTGGTTCATATTAGGCTATCAAGCACATGTTTACAATTGCAATCTTATATGGGTAGTCTGCTACATTCATTGTAGCTGGCATAAAAACAATGTTTTTCCGAGCAAACTCATGTCTAGCTCTTAGTAGCCTTGTTGTTTAGCTCGGTAGCATACACGCTCGGAACGCCAGCTATAATGTAATTACGTTTCGCGACTAACCGTACGGTAAATCACCTGGAGTATACTGTCTATGAGTATTTCGTGTGTGAATGCAGACATTCTCCTGCTATGAGATACATGTATGTAAGGCCATCTGCTGATATTAGAGTTGATATGGAAACGCTAGCAACTTAGTTAGCACAGTTAGCACTGGCTTAGCAGTCCGAAACACGCTTACACATTTAAACAGTCGTGGTAGATATTGTTAGAAATTAAAATCAATGTTTTATGGCATAATTTAGTCTAAAACATACCGTCAGTTTAAAAGCAGTCTTATGAAGAACTCATTGATTTCAGTATTGTGTTCACACCTTAAAAGGTGTGAAAGGAGGGATTGTTAGAAATTAAAATCAATGTTGATGTGGCGTAATTTGAATGAAATACACTGTATTTAATTTAAATCTGTTTTATTCTGAAAACCGAAGATTCACAAGTGACTTCCGGTTTTCCGCTGGTGAATTTCGTCATTTCCGGTTAGCATTAGCATGTGGCGAAATGCTACGTTTTCAAACCGTGAATTGAAGGTGAAATAACGTGATGTTGTACACTAAACACCCTGGGTTTAACACTCATTTATTGACGCTAGAATGAGGTTTATTAGGGAATGTTTAGATGACCACAGACATCAGAGTGATGTAATTCAGCAGCAGAAACCGACAGGATTTGCATTGGACACGCCCCCGTCGGCCAATAGGAGAAGACTACAGTTGATACCCGGGAGACACAAGAAGCATCTCTCTCTCTCTCCTTGCCCCCAGCTGACCCAGGACGGACGGGACCAAACAGCTGGCAGGGGCAAACCACCAACGAGCACATTTCATTTGTATACCACCGCATCTTTTGTGTAATTAAATGCTGTTAACTTTTATAAGCTTGCCTTGACTCTTTTCAGTCTCTCCTGCTCTCGGGGTTCAAGAATCACTAACAATTGGCAACCAACTGTAAGGATGCGTGGAAGGGTAGGACCCAAATGCAGACTATCAGAAAAGGTAAACGGTCTCGAAACAAAAACGAGCTTTATTCTAAAGCTGAACAATAGCATGGCATGAAACACATAGGTTCTATAGAAAACTGACCGTGACCAACATGGTGGGAGACAGGAGAAACAAACAATGAACCGACAGGGGAACACAGGAAGAGACAAGACTAAATACAGAGAGGGGTAATCACAAGACGAGACACAGCTGGGGTAAGGGAGGCAGAAACACAAGGGCAACAGGTGAACACAATCAAACAATCAGACACACCAGGGAAACTAAGACAGGAAGGCAAACACAGGAAGAAGGAACAGAGAAGACACGAGGAAAACATTTCAAAACAAAACAGGAAACCAGAAAAAGACAAGACAAAACACAACACAGACAGATCGTGACACCAACGAAGGGACTCTGAGACTGGAGAGTGCTGGAAGAGAGGAAAGCTGCAGCTAACTAGCATCACAACAGGCGGCAGACAAAGGATTTTTTGGCTGGGCCTAAATCAAAGGTGAGACGGTTACCTGTTTAATTCAAAAACTGTATAGTTAAATAACTTACATTAGGTGCAAGCGTTGGTGGTGAGTAGTAGATTGATCTGTGTTGTGATTGCGAGTGGTGCGGTTTTGTTTATAGTGTTTCTTCGGCGCCGCCCGATTAATGTGAATATTAAAGACCTTTGGGAAGGCACTAGAGGTTATCTGGTTTACATTGGACTGGCTCCAAATAGTGTTAAGATCTCTGGGGAGGTACGAGCCATGATCTGTTTTGCACTGGACTGGGTCCGTTCATGTTAGTTTATATGTTTGATGTGTTAAACCGGCGTAGTCTCGTTTAATAAAGTATATTGTGTGGAGTTCTTAAGCCGAAAAGTATATTTTTGTGTGATGTTCTAAGCCGGAAAGATTGTGTACAAGATTGGTATAAGATCAGCTTTTAAGGTCAGCATCTATAGAATTTAGAGCTAAGATAAATGAAGTTTGTATTGGAGTGTTTCAAGCAGTGTGGTTTTCAATTGCATCACATGTTCCCATTGTTCCCCTCCCCTTCCCCCAGTCACATGAGGTTAATGCTATACTGCTAAGCTAGTTAGCTAGCCAGTTGGCATTACTAGGTGGTGAAATAGTTTGAGTAAAGATACAACTGGTAACTACTGGAATGGTGGATACACAGGGATGGTGTAGATGAACATTGAGAGTAGATTAAGTTGTTTTTGTTTTTCATGCTTTTCATAGAAAGTAATTTTAACTTTATTTGGGTAAATAAACCGGAAGTAGGTTTATGAACCGGAAGTACTCGTTGATGCATTTGAAAGGAGTTAAAAATAAGACAGCTCCCCTAGCGGACACACCATTACAGTTAATGCATTCTTCACCACACACAGATAAAGATTACATGTGGTTTCTCTGAATTGAAGTATTGTAGTTATGACATTTGCATAATTTCATAAACTTCAGAATACACTGTACACAGTTTATTTGGATTTTCACCATATTCCTATTTTCATATTTTAAAGGTCAAAACCATACACTGTACATTTTTTATTTTTTAAATTTCTGATTTTAAAATTTGCATAATTTCTAATTTACTTTATTAATCTTTTATTAAAAACTTCAAAAAAAAAGATGACCAGATTCTAAAGTTGAGTTCAGATGACATAGGATACTTTTATAAAGAATACAAAGGTACTATTCAGTGGATTAGTAATTCTTCTTTGATAAACTTCATAATTCCATCCAAGTGAAACATGTCACTAAATGACACTAAGTTAAGAGCATTCTAAATGCCAGGCTCAACTGCAGATATTAAGGAGAGGGTAAACATCAGGTCAGATGCTATGACAGCGCCAAAAGCTAGACAGAAGACATGGAACAGAATAGAGAAACTGTTCGAGCAGTGGCAAACGAGAGGATTGATTCCAGCAGATGATAAACCTGGACCAACGAAAGCCCATAGAAAAGCTGTAGTTGAATATGAGAATGGAGAATACCTACAACAGCAAGAGGCATGGATCAAAGCCGGACGACCCTCGTGGTATGGACCTGGAAAAAGCGCTATGAACAAAGCTGAAGAAAGAAAAGCTAGAGTTACAAGTCTGATACTCCATCTAAAATATGCCAGCCAGGGATTGACAACAAGCTTACATTTGGTAGAAGCAGCAGATCTGCCAGTAAATGAAGACACAGCAGAAATAACAGAAGAGGCTCCAGTTATCCAAACTCCAAAGCAGTATCCAAGCCTGACCGAAGTGTCTCCTCCCGACATATCAGAGAACAACCCTTCTCACCAAGCTTCAATTCAAGCCCCAAATGTGAAAGAATTGGCGTATGAGGTAAGAATCATATCCAGTGTCAACCAGCTGATGGAAGCAGAACTCATCAGAGAGGAAGAGTTCAAAAGAAGAATGGAAGCAGAACTCATCAGAGAGGAAGAGTTCAAAAGAAGAATGGAAGCAGAACTCATCAGAGAGGAAGAGTTCAACAGAAGAATGGAAGCAGAACTCATCAGAATGGAAGCAGAACTCATCAGAAGAATGGAAGAAAGACAAAGACAAGAACAAGAAGAAAGGAAAATATGGGAAAAAGAGCAAGAAGAGAAAAATTACCGAACTGGTTGCTCTCCTGAAACAACACATTCTGCAGATGAAAGAAAACAACAAATAACTAAAAAATGGGGAGAATCTCAAACAAAACGCCGAACAAATTACTCTCCTGACAAAGACTATTCCAAAGGAGATGAAGATGAAGATGACGATGGCAGTACACAGTTTGTAACCAGTAGACACTCCCCCTACCAAGAACAGTCACAGCAACGACGCAGATTTGCATCTCCCTCAGAGAACAATAGTAAGGACGAATACCCTGGGACATGCCCCAAAGCTGGAAGAACCAAGACCAGTGCACATACCTCCATGCCATTGATAGCGGCTGAGAGAGGAGGATTTGACTACCAACCATGGGCTCACAGGGACATGGAATCATTAGTGGCAAAGCTACCTCCACTCACCCAAGGAGGTCAGAAGTGGGTGAAAGATCTGGAGAAGTACACTGTCCAAGACCACCTGTGCTTGGGAGACATGAGGGCACTGCTTAGACGGATAGAAGGCAGACTAGAGGCAAGAGCAGTAGATTTCATGGCCAAATGCACCAACTCTCCAGATGACACTTCATTCAACAATATCAGGTCGAGCTATTGGGCTGCTATTCGTAACATCTACCCGACAACACGCAGTTTACACGCCCTCAACAGCCTGAGAAAAGAACCGGGGGAGGACATGCATACCTTCCTGAAGAGATGTGAAGGAGTGTGGGAGGACTGCACTGGAGAACGACATGACGTTTCTCCGGCTGTCGTAATGTTGTGGAAGAACGCGGTCATTAAAGCCCTTCCCCGATCAGTGCAGGTATGCCTGGAAGCCGTGGTGAGATTAGAAGCTAAACTCCCAGAAGAATGGAAACAACATCTCATTCACCACGACATGACATACCAGGCAACACAGAGGGAAAATGACGAAGTGATGAAAGCACTAAAACTAAGACTTTTGAAGATGCAAGTAGCTGAGAAAGATGCAGAAGCTGAGAAAAATGCAGAAGCTGAGAAAAATGCAGAAGCTGAGAAAGATGCCGAAGCTGAGAAAGAGGCCGAAGCTAATAAAAACAAGAAATCGACAAAGCAGATGGCCATACTAGCAGAGAAGGCAGGGCGAACACCTCCAACAGTTCAAACTCAGGAAGAACCAGAGAATCAAATGCAGAACCAACAAAGCGGAGGAGGAAGTTTCAGAGGAAGAGGTTTCCAGAATGGTGGCTGCTACACACGTGGTCAGACGTCACATTGGTCCAATGAATGTCCCACACAACTCCAGCAACAGCAAGCACCTGTGTATCTTCCTACCGAAGTACAGCCACAAGCACCACAGTATCTTCAACAGCAAACACCTGCATATCCTCCTACCCAAGTACAGCCGCAAGCACAGGTATACCCTCCCATACAACAAAAGGGACAATGGAGAGGAAAGCAACGATCAAGAGGGAGAAGGGATGATGGCTGCTTCATATGTGGTGATTGTAGACATTTGGCCAGAGATTGCCCCACTCAGCAATATCCACCACAATGTAGCCCCTCACAATACAGAGGAGAACCAGTGTTAGATATTAGGAAAATTGAGGCGGAAGCATATGCCAGGTCCATGATGAATATTTCTGTTGGATCAGGTGATTGGGTGAAAGTAAAAATCCACAAGATGAACTCGTTGCAACCTGTATGGAGTGGACCATGGGAAGTTGTGGAACGCACTGCAGATGCACTCCGGATCAGAGTTAACAAAGGAACATGTTGGCACTTTCTTGCAAATTGTGTAGCTGTACCGCCACATTTCCAGAAACGGCACGGCAGTTAGAACTGATTTTGGAAAAACTGGTACAACACAATAAGTAATTGAACATTTTTAGGTAAGGCACCACCAGAGTAAAAACACATTTTTATACTCAAACTATTTCCAAGTCATAGACAAGGAATTTAGATAATATAAACAAATGTTCACCAAAAGTAATAAGTATAATGGAAAGTAGACATAGGCCTACACTTGAGTCAATTTACATTACTGTGGTCTGATTAGTGTCCTCTGCAGGTTTTTTACTATTGTTCTAAGTAACAGTGGGATTTAAAATATTGGAGAAAGTATGGAGATGTTCTTTCGTAGTGTGGGGAATGTGATGCTTGAAACATGTAAGTATTTCAATTTATAGGAGAAAATGGTTTCTTGAAAGAGTTATGTTGGGTAAATATGTAACAATGGTTGAAATAATTTTTAGAAGGAGATTTTGTAATAACATTAGTAGACATTAATTGTGTTGTTTAGATGGCATTTAACAACTAAGACAGATAGTATGATTAGAAAAAGACAGAGTGGAAAGGGTTGAATTTTTTTAACCTCAGTGTGCTAGACTTCCTATAGGTAATGCGTCCCGAGACCTGGACTCCCCCTCTGAGTCAGAAAGGCTACGACCCCGACCCTCCAAGCTGACAAAAGACCTAACCCAACAGGAGACTCCTCCTTCTCCATCGAACAGACAGAGAACCAGAGCTGAACCAACAACAACAACAAGACTGCATCCAGAACTGCAGCCAGAACTAACTCCACCTGTGGCATCCAGAACCAAACGGCATGCTGACATACAGAGAGATACTCTCATCGGTCCCTCAGACAGGACATGAAGTTCCAAGCTGAGCCACGAGATTTGGCACAAGAGCAAAGTGTGGGACATGAGAGCAGAATCCGCCCTCCATAAAAACAGTAGAGAGACTGTAAAGGAGGAGATGAAATGCAAAGCAGTACAAGAACAGTGGCATGATGTGGGCTGCAGATGTAACTGGGCCAAAGGCTGCCTAAAAGAGTTACAGCCGATGGATTCAAGTGCTGATGGACTGAAGACAGAATCAGAGGAGTTGGCATGGTCGATTGGAAGTGAGGAGGCCGGGGTCACGGCTTGAGAAAACCAGGGGAGGAGAACAGGAAAACGGGAATGAGTGAGTTTACACATAAACACACTTATTCACAAAACGCACATAAAAGTGACCACATTTAAAGAACTTGAATTGACTTAATAAATATGTAAAGACAAAAAGATGTATTAACCATGAATTAATCAATTGGTAAATTAAAATAGCAGTAAAGAGGAAACTATTAAAGTAAAATGAGAATCATCCTAAAACACACTGAGGGATAAAGGGGGAGACATGATGGAAACATTCACTACACTTTAAGCAGTGGGTGTTTTGGAGTACAGAGTAGAACTATATTCTTCAATCTTTCCATCAAGAGATTCTTATTCATGTGTGAATAAAGTGGTGATTTAATTTGTTACAATATTGATCTACAGATTAAAGGGATAGTTTTAGGAACCACTGTATAAGTTCAGACAAATCTTTATTTGTATGGATAATGTTAAAGGGAGAGCTAGGACCAAGCCAAATATAGTATTCCAATCTAAAGTATTGATTTCACCATTGTGGCATAGTTATTACCATAGGAGGGCTTTAAGATGGAAATATGAAATGACTTCTGTTTTAAATCCTTGATGAAGGAGGGAGTAATTCCTGCATGTTCGAACACCCAAGGTTCCACACACTGCTGAGGGGATTAACATTGTTTTTTAAGTAGACCAGAAAAGGGGTTTAAGTGACATTATAAGGAGTTATGAAATACATAGCAGAGCTACACAGATCCTAATAATGTTTTGACTCAAGATAATAGCCACATGTACATAAGTTTCTGAAATAGATATTTTAGACATTTTAATACTAATTAGGTGTAAATAAACTGCAGTAGTAGTACTATAAGGAAGTGAATTTTGTACCAAATTTCAAGAAAGGTGGGAGGCAGAAGTCCCAATGAAAAGTTAGAACCATCTTGAAAATCATAGTTGAAATCATGAATGAATAAGGAATGGCGCTCCGCATATGACATATTTTTGTAGATAAAGGGTACCCGCCTATGCTGAATTACCTCTGAAAAGACTCTGCAGAGCATGACATGGCCAAAAGACCGAGACCAAATGACCTTTGACCCTGACTGACAGTGTGACAAAAGCACTGTCAATGACTGACTCTGGGGTGTACCTGACCGAACCTGACTTGACAACCAGACGGTATGAGTGTGAATGAATGCCGGCATGTGATCAATGTAACTGCATGATTCTAAAACAATAACTAACCAAGCATTTTTTTGGACTAACACATTATTTTGGAGCTCCAAGGGAAACGAGAGGTTTCCTATAATTCCACAAAAAAGGGAAACCGCACATGGGACCCGTTTCTAATCTACTTGATGATATTTTACTCCCACAGGAGTTGGCGTTTTGCAAATGGAAAAACTCAAACTATAATCTGAAGATTCTGTTTCTTTTAGGACTGAAAGATGAAGAGAAACACTTATTTTCACTGAGGTGTTTACTGTGGAAAGATAATAATAATAATGGATGTAAAATTGCTATGTCCCTAACCAAAATGTAACTGAAAGTTTTCTCTCCTCCCCTCCCAGGATTTTATTACACATGAGTTCATGTGTAAAAAGGGGGAGTGTGTATAATGTATAACGTCAACATGGCTGTCAAATTCACAATTTAAATTTTTCTTTTAGGGATTGAAAGAAACCTTCCGCCCCAACCTAGATGTTCAAACTGAGCATTGAATGATAGTTTTTGAATTAACCTGCTGCATATCTGGGGATAAGATACTGTTTGATGAATGTTGACATGTTTCTAAATATTGATTGCATTTTGAACAGGTAACACAGATGCAGAAGCAGTGGCCAAGGGGCTACTGTGAGAGATGTAATTCCAGAATGGAATACCAAAGAAGTTGACCTGTGATAATGACACAATTTTGTAATATTTTA